CAACAACTAGGCTAAAGAAGGGTTCAATCGAAAGATCTGAATGCGAGAATTTTTTCCTGCAAAAATGACGACTCGTTTATTGTTTGTAAGAAACATGTTATGTCCTAAGCAAAGTTCAAGTTTTTAAAAAGTTTCTAGAAACAACTAAGGTTTTGGGCAAAATCCAATTTTCAAATTACCCATTTCATCCCGCATCAGTATAACAAATTCAAAAAACCTTGTTAAACCGGTACCTCCAGCTTTAGCCGGGTCCCCAGTTTTCTTTAACCATAGTTTTTTCCTATTATGTTTTTGTATTATGACTTCTTATGATTTTTTTCTTGTTAGTGTTAGTGCTCCGCATCTGTATAAAAGTTTCCATATCCTCGTTGTTTTTAATAAAGTTTTTGTTGTGGTAAAATTAGTGTTTATTTTGATTGAGTTTATAAATGCTATTGCCTGATTCAATTTTGCAGTTTTCGTGATCCCACAGGACTCGCGCGGAAACTGAAACAGGCAGCAAAAACCATCAGCATCATACTTGTCCATTCTTTTAGCATGAAGGCCGGCTTCCGTGTCTAGTCGATTTTTTCTTTCCTCGGCTCGGCTTTATTTAATTTGCGTCTGGCTGGAATAAATTGTTTAATTTAATAAGATATTAATTAATATTCAACTTCAATACCATATTTGACTTCGATCATCAAATTTTTCTTTCTTTTTTCTAAGTACATGATTTTTCGATTTCCATCTCGCAGGTCTTGAGGAGAAATTGTTCTAAACGGCAAATTATTCTCATATTCTTTGAAAAATGAAATATTGTTTTTGGATAAACACAAGGCACAGGCACAGATGGTTAGGACGATAACCTCAATGGAGATAGTTCTGGTGTTCGGAATCCGCAATGAGACATCTGATGAGAATAATGGTTCGAAGCTTTGATTATTGTAGATATTCAGAAATTTGGTACAGCTGATCAAACACACTGACTTATCCTCGCGCCCTGATTAGGAAGTTACGGTTTCTCAGAGTGATATGAATTTGAGTTTTTCCCTTGTGTATTGTATTTCATTGCATATTCAGTTTCTCTTTTCTTCCTTGCCACTAACTTGGTCATTGCCAGCAACCGGTAGTGCAGTGGTTGGGCACTGACCAAAAAACCAAAGGAGTTACTTAGAGTATGAAAGATGACCCTTCAGATTTTTTTGATTTTTCCTTGTGATCGAATTGATGTTGCATAGTTCCTTTAATTTGCATTTTCTGGAATCTCTTCCAAATGTTTCGCACAATTTGTAACTCGATTGACTACTGAACAGTAAGTTACAGTTTTAATCCCGCTGGTAATGGAGTAGAATAGTATGCAAACGCGAGGTAAAAATTAGGCACAAAAAGCAGTAGTAAAGAACATGAATTTTAATTGTAAGACTTCTCAGCGGAATAAAAAAATTATGGTATCCCTTCTCGTCATCATAGGAATTGTAAAAAATTTGATAAATTCTGAGTTTCGCGAGAACTCGTCTGCGTTTTTGTCATTATTAAACTAGTCGTTATTTGATGAGAGAGTAACCCTGATGAATTCTATTTCCGCTAGAGTTTGCAATTTCTAGATAAGAAACAATATTTTTTATCTAATTTAATTACCCTTTCTAAAAAAATCCTGTTTACTTATTAGGTTTTTTTTTTCAACAGTGTTTCTAGTAGGTCATTGCTGATAGTTTGATAAAAACCTGTGCTTGCACAGCAACTGCCTATCTAAAATAGTTTAATTTAAAAGATACTTAAATGCAATTTAATGAGTTTACATTTGTTACATTGGTTCTCCGAAGTTTTTCACAAAAAGTTTACGAAAAAAAAGTTTTTTTTTGGTTCTCATTAGTTCATTGAAAATTTTCCAACTGTGTCTATTCGCTATGTAGTAGAGGATCCAAATTACTACTTTTACTCTTCTGACGACCTATGATAACTCAGTATGAAAAGATAGATAAATTGAAGAAAATGACTTCATTGAAAATTTTCCAACTGTGTCTATTGGCTATGTTTTTGAAGTCATTTTCTTCAAATTATCTATCTTTTCAATCTGAGTTATCATAGGTCGTCAGAAGAGTAAAAGTAGTAATTTGGATCCTCTACTACATAGCGAATAGACACAGTTGGAAAATTTTCAATGAAGTCATTTTCTTCAAATCATCTATCTTTTCATACTGAGTTATCATAGGTCGTCAGCAGAGTAAAAGTAGTAATTTGGATCTTCTACTATAATTTAAAACCAAGTAATATATTGTAAAACGGGATGATCATAGACGTTGAAACGGTTTAATCTATGATTGATTGGATTGGCCTTTACAAAGTGCCGGGTTTCTCTCAGAAAAGCGAGCAGTTCTGTTCTCTGTCACCTTATTGGATAAAGTGAACCTGCAACGATTTTTCCAATTGCTTATGAACGAAGGGAAGACTTTTGTTTAGTTCATGTATTTTTGATATTTTACTCTACTTTTCTACAGCTTTTTTGGATTTTTTCAGCGCTACAGACTACCTTTTTACTTGTTTTCTGACTATCATTTTGTTTTCTGCCACCCTATTGGTTTAAATGAACCTTCGGCGTTTTTTTTTCGATTAATTGTGAACGAAAAGAAGACTCCTATTTAGGACGCTGTTATTTTGATTTTTTCAACTCGGTTTTTATACAGATTTTTGAATGTTTTCTATTTTAATCGATTTGAAGCTACTTCGTTTGAGTAGATAAAACTGTCTGCAATCTTTTCCAAATGAATAAACATATACCAGCATATCGGGTTGCTTAGCGTCCCCGAAGATGCTTGAGTGGATCAGCCCCAGAGCCCACCCTTTACTTTTATCCTATCATCAATTGTTCATATCCTATGCAAATGAAGATTTGTTTTTATCCCCTTGTAATGTGTTTGGCACTGTTAGTAACTCGGTTGACTACTGAACAAAACTATTCTAATAACCGTTGTAAGAAACCGATTAGAATAATATGCCATCAAAGACGCTAGCGCGAGGTAAAGTCTAGGTGGTTCACTTTTGTTCATTGAAATTTTTCCAATCGTGTGTGTTGCTATGTTTTTGAAGTCGATTTTTTTTCAGGCTATCTTTATTTTCATACTGCGCCAGCATTAAGCGTTAGCAGAGTAAATTTAATATTTTTGGACCCTCGATAGTATAATTTTGAACAAAGTGACATATTGTAAAAACAGGATTATAATAGACGTTGAAGCGGTTTAATCTTTGATTGATTGGTCTTTTCAAGTTGCCGGGTTTCTCTCCAAAAAGCGATGAGATCTGTTTTCTGTCACCTTCTTGGATAAAATGAACCTTCAACTTTTTTCCAATTGTTATGAGCGAAGGGAAGTTTTTTGTTCAGGTCATGTATTTTGATTTCTTACTCTACTTGTCCTTAGCTTTTTGGATTTTTTGCTTGGATTGATTTGAGTTACTGTTTATGTAATTAAGTTTGTTTGGAATCACTTCAAAATGAATGAGCATGTACAAGAATGTCAGGCTGGATCAGCGCTACAGACTACTTTTTTATCCTATGTCAATTGTTCATATCCTATGCAAATATAGTTTTTTCCCTTGTAATATATTTGGCACAACTAGTAACTCAATTGACTGTTGAACAGTAGGTAACGGTTCTAGTAGCTGGGAATGGAGTAAAATAATATGCCATTAAACACGCCAACACGAGTTAAAGACTAGGCGATTAAAGCAGTAACCTGGATTTTGATTGCAGCATTCCTCAGCGCAATAAAAAATAATAGTATCATAACATAGCTCTTTTGGTCATCATACGAATTTTAAAAAACAAAAACAGTTCGCGGTGTTTCGCGAAAACTGCTCTGCGTTTTTGTCATTTTTCAGATTGATCAAGACGAAGTCTGATAGAGAGTAACCTCTGAGATTTTTTCTACTCGAGTTTCAACTTGCTTCAACTATATTTACCGCTTTTTTTTGTATTTTCCATCTGATTAAATTCTAGAAATTTCAGCTAATTTCAGTTTTTTTTCCAAATTTTTAACTGATTTTTTTTGGACGTTGCTTTCTGTTTAGTATGAACATTATGTGCTACTTGCAAAACAACCGGCTATCCTAATTCGTTGAATTCAATTAGAAAGATTTTTTAATGCGATAAATTTTTTTCTCCGAATTTTGGATGTTTAAAAATAGTTGGAAAAAACCCCTTTTTCAGTTTCCTCTAGTTTATTGAAAATTTTCCAGCTGTGTCAGTTGGCTATGTTTTTGAAGTCTATTTCTTCGGGTTATCTATATTTTCATACTGCGCCAACATGAAGTTGCAGCACAAAAAAAAGTATATCGGATCCGCTTTTGTATGTTTTCGAACAACATTTTAAACCGGGATGTTGATAGAAGTTGAAGCGGTTTACTCTGTGATTGATTGGTGTTTTCAAGTTGTCTTATGTCTGTACGAAATGCGAGAAGTTCTGTTTTCGGTTGGGGCACCTTGTTGGCTAAAATGAAAATACAACATATTTTCTAAGTTTTTGTGAACGAAAGGAAGATACTTATTTAGGTCATGCGTTTTTTTCTTTCGTTTTTTTTTCTCGAAAAGTCTCAAAAATTGTTCATGTTCTAATTTTGTTTTTCACGGTTTGATTTTTGATCTCGAATACCTCTTTCCAATTACAAAGTGGCAAATTGCGCGAAAAATTTGATTGACTTTAAGTTTTATAAGCGGAATTTAGTTTTTGGCTTTTGCAGCGGGTTATAAAATCCCTAGTAAAACTGAGTCAAGTTTAATAAAAAAAAAGTGTCAAGCGTAAAATGTCTTGGAATTCAAAATGAGCTTCCTAGAAGTTCAAAAGTAAGGTAGTGTTTTCTTTGAAGATAGAAGGAGGCAGGTAGAGTTCAATAACACTTTTCCAACTGTCAGCTGACAATGATTTCATTTTTATGAGATAAAAACTCTACTGTTCCAATTCAATTTCTTCAACTATGTATTTTATCCAATCGTGATGAAAACTGTATTCGGATGTTTTTTTTAGGGCAGGTTTGGTTATTGGATTAAAATGAGCAAATCAATTTTCACAGAGTTCGCAGACTTGCTGATTAAAGAAAACTGGAGCCTTGATGTTAGTTAATTTTGATTTAGCTTCATTTATTCGATTGATATAATGATGTCTGCTGACAATAAATTCACCGTTTTGCTCCAAAGAAACGAGGTCAATCATTTGGCTAGTTTTCTTTTCTATTAACAATTTATGAAAATATGGCTCAAAGAACATTTTTACTCCACTTCAAATTGCTTCGTGTTGGCTCTTTTGAATTGTCTACACAATTGCAGTGGAATGTAATGTTGCAAAACATAGTTTTTAGAGCTTCCTTGCGCAGTTTATCGATGCCGAAAGACGCGTTTTAATTACAATAGAGCTTAAAAGAACGGTTTTTCCTTTTAATTTTGTTTTAAATCGCTAATGAGGGATTCCATGATTAATTAAACACCTGTCCAAAACTCCGAGCATTGAATCAGGATGCGTTCCATCCTCGTAGTTGTTAGTTTTTTTGCAGTCTTGATTTTGACTTGACTTAGTGTTTCTGAACTTAGTTAAGGCCGTAACAGTTAATTAGAGCATGTGTTTTTGGAAGTCCTCATCAAATGTTCCACTCTGATTTTGATGGCTTAACTGTTGACATCGCTTTTATTAAGTGTATGTTCAAAGAGGGGCACAAACTACGTCCTCCAATCAGAACAGCAGAAATGACAAACATGTGTGGTTTATACGCTTGCTATGAGTTTGAAACGTGCCATTTAACTTCTGCCTTATCGCACAAGCAAACGCTTTTGTTAAAATGGGACGTCTTTGTTTTAACCGAAGTTGCGCATTTTTGTGTTCTATTTTGGAATAACTGTGCCTAGTACTATTTGGCTACTGATTTAGTAGCATACGTTTTCTCCCTCTGTTGGTGTGTACAGTAATAGGATGTGTTAGCGGTGTCCCACTCTTTAACCCTACGATATTTAACCCCCTATGTTTACACCCCCTATATAATAACCCCGTAACATGATAACCCCACAACAATTTAACACCCTTTTAAGGACGATAATTTGTTCCAAATAAAGTCCTTTTTATAAGTACAGGAGTAGTCCAATTAAGTTTACTAATTGAGGCCTGAAAAGCTAGTCTTAATTCACTTGATGCCTCTAGCATCTCAAAAATAATTGCATTTCTTGGATTAGTGAGAGAAATAATCCCTCACTCACGCGTTTAAAACAGAGATAACCTCTACATGGTGCTAATTGAAGGCAACAAAAGACGTTTGTGAGTTTTATAAAAAATCATACTGCCCATTTCTTTAACCATTGTTATACCACTCTATCAGATAAGATATAATGTTCGAAGCGTCATTCCATTTCACTTTATCTTCAAAAGACAAACAAATGCTAGTGGTATCAGGCCACGAGTATTACCTTAAACCCAAAAACAAGACAACAACAAATTGGAACTGCTCGAAGTACCAAACCCAGAAATGCCGCGCAATAGCAATTACGGATGGAGAAAACTTTATTGAAACGAGGGGTCCACGGGCAAACCTGATGCTCGACTAGTTTTGAAAAAGATCAAGTATCTAAGCGATAGTAACACCCCAACCGTCGCAGTCGCAACCGCCATTCAGCCCATTACAGACGACATTGCCACTCAACTAGCCCTACCATCCAAAGAAAATTTGGTTCGCACTGCACAAAGAGCGCGCAAGCAACGAGAAGAAGTCTTACCAGTCTCCTCAGCAACCAGAAGTTTCGAAATACCCGAACGTTTTAAAACTTTTATAAGATTTGACAGTGGGCAAAATGATCACGAGAGGATTATTTTATTCGGCGACCCTGTAATGCTACTTGTGCTTGAAACATCCAACTTTTGGTTGGCTGATGGAACTTTCAAAGTCACCTCGAAAATGTTTTATCAACTTCTTTTCATACACGTTAGTCTTTCAGGAATAGCCCCCGCTTGCATATATGCTTTCTTGCCAAATAAAACAGAAAAAACTTACCACCGTTTCTTTGAAGCCCTAAACATACTAGCCCCTGATAGTAGACCTGGAAAATTTTACTGGATTATGAGCAGGCCGCTATTCAAGCGTTTCAGAAAAATTTTACCGAGTCCAAGCTGTCGGGATGTTTCTTCCATATTTCACAAAGTTTTATGAGAAAAATCGCGGAGCTCGGATTGAAAAAGGATCACGAAACAAACCACGAGTTCGCTTTAGCACTCAAAATGTTACCCGCTCTGGCTTTTGAAAAAGAAGAAGAAATAGGAAATTCATACGATAAAATAGTGGAGGAAGTTCAAATAGTTTGCGATCGCACCATAAAAGAGGCGGAAAAAATAGCGAAAGTTGACGAGCTTTGCCTTTATTTTGGATCTAACTACATAAAAAGTCTCGTCCCGAATCGAGAAGCCCTATTCTCTCCTTCATTATGGAATCAAAGGGATGCGGATTCATCGGGTTTGGCCAGAACAGCAAACGCTGTAGAGGGCTGGCATTATGGCATACAGTCTTACTTCAGTGGATCGAATCCCAGTATATAAAGTGATTGCAAATTTGCAAAAAGACGCTTCCGTCCAAAAACTGAATTTCTATAACGCCTCGAGTAGGCACCAATTTACAAAAAAGAAAAAATACCGGGTGCTCAACGAAAAAGTGCAGAAAATTATGCATGTTTATAAAGAAAAAACGGATTTGCATTTCTTTCGCGCTATGGCGAACTTGAGTTAAATATTTGCTTTTTCTTCTTTGTTTATAATTTCAATTTTCACCTTTATTCTATATTGACAAGCAATAAAAATTTTTCCAAGTCTATTTTTTTTCTTGAATTTTCAAAATTGAGCTAGAGTCGATTTGAAACTGGCAAAATAATAAATACATACAAGGTGTTGATTTTTATTTTCCCTCCACCCAACCCTCTAAGGTTAACCCATTTGTTGTACCCTTGATATACCCGTTATCATATTTACCCGAATTTCAATTTTTTTTCGGAAAAGTGGAAAATGTTTTGGTGCTGCCAGGGATTCGCTCCTTTGATCTCTTGATTTTGAGACTAACGCTTTAACCACTATACCATGAGGCCTTTGGTTGTCATCCAAATTATTGTTCCAACTTTGGCTCTTTGATCTTTAATTACGTCCATGTTTGAGTTTTCAAAACGTAGATCAATTATGTCGGCGCCAAAAGATCAAGGTCAAGAAATTCAAATGGTTTTGGACTGTTTTGTATGGGACTGTTTTTAGAACCTTTTTTTGATGTTTCGGATTTTTTTATATGGGACTGTTTTGTATATGCACCAATTTGAATCATGTCGGTAGGATTCGTTTTCAAGTTCATATCAAAGTCTAGACTATCGGCAAGGTCATTTCTGTTCAAATCTAAAATGCATTTAGCAGCGTGGATGTTTGCTCATTTTGGTTCGCAAAATTTTTCGCAATTAAAGCTTTGATGTTTACCAACGATATGGTTCCGAATCCTTTTCAAGTAAGTTTCACTTTGTTTCTAACAATTTAAAAAGGGGTTAAATTGTAGTGGGTATATCTAATTTCGGGGTTATATGAGAGGAGTTTAAGAAAAAGGGATTAACAAAAAAACGGGGTGATAAGCTTGGGAACCGTGTTAACTACTTAAGGAACGATACATAAATATGGAATAATTTATCATCTTGGAAAGACTTTAAGTCTCATTTTATGATTTTCTGTCGGTGCCTACTAATATTTTGTAGTATCTTAAGTTATGTTTGTAACTAATTAGGATGAGCGATTAAAATGTACAATTTTCCTAATTTAGTCTTTCTTCCTAAAAAACTGTCCTAATTACATTGTAACATATCTGAGTCAAAGCTCAAATAAATACGCTTTTTGATGGCTTTTGGCTCGGTTAATTTAACATTATTTGGCTAATTTACGGTTTTTGTTCAAGAAGTGATATTGTTACCTGTTTATTTCAGATTTTTTTAAAAGTTTTACTTACATTCTGGAAATTTCGTGTCAAAGCTCATACACTTACAAGTTTTGGCTTGGGTTTCCCATAAAAGTTCTTTTGAAATGAATTTTTTCTTGGAAAAAAAGAATGGTCGGACTATCGTTTGTCTGCGTATTTTCGGTCAGTTTAAGCTCTAAAGCATGGAGTTTTCCTCTTTAAAATTTTACATTTAATTGAAGGTCGAATTATAATTTTATAATTTACCACCATCTCTGATTTTGAATGATACTTTTATTTTTTTTCTGTTTTTTTTGCGTGAATGATTTAGGCTTGTTGTTCCAACCATTTGAAAAATGGCGAGGAACTTGATATTCGGATGTATTTATTTTTTTTTCTTTTGTTTTTTTTTCCAGCAAATTCAGCTACCACAAATAATCATTGGAGAGAATTGAGAGGCATATCCTTAAAAGCCCATGCAGTCGTGATTCGAAAGACCTTGAAATTTTTGTGGTGTTTGGAGGATTATATAAACTCGTAGAAAGTTATTCAACTAAGCTTAATCGACAAAATTTGTCCTCAAACAAAGAATCACAAACAAAAATTGAAAAGATGTAAAATTATTTTTGCCTTTTTTTACACAATTTTCAAGAAATTTTTATGCTATGAAAGTGCGAACCGAAGTTTCCAAAACTAGAAAAGTGGCGTTTATAATTTTATAATTTACCACCACCTCTGATTTTGAATGGTGCTTTTAAAAATTGTTCTGTTTTTTTTTTGCGTGAATGGTTTCGGCTTCTTGTTCCGACCATTCGAAAAATGGGGAAGAACTTTGTATTCGTGTGCGTTTTAGTTTTTTCTGGTTTTTTTCCAGGCAACTTTTCACCCAAAACATTCTAATTTTAGTGGTGTGATTGAGGATTATACAAAGTCGTTCAAAGTTACTTAAATAAGCTTCGACAAAATTTGTCCACAAAACTTGAATCACAAATAAACCATGAAAAATATTTTCAAAAAAGTTCTAAAGTTTTCTAATGTTTAGAATAATTTTTAATTTTTTAAAGAAAACTTATTGCCATGGACCGCTAAAAGATTTCTTAAAAGCTGGAAAAATCAAGTTTATAAGTTTTTGAATTACCACTATCCCTGATTTTAAAAATTGCTT